CCAGATAAAGGCTGAGGATGGACCTGATGTGAGTTGTTGGGAGGCGTTAGTTTCTCGGATGTTTTTCCCCGTGTGAAAACGGTAACATCTGGCTCGTGACAGTCTTGAAGTTGTTTATTTTGCCAGGCAGTAGCTGTGGTATTGCAAGGGTTCGAGGAGCAGGTCAAGTCGTTGCAAACTTTCCTATGGGACGCTAAGTCCAGCGTGGAGGAAGCTGCTGGGGATAAGAATGAATCGGAAAGTGAGTGTCGGTGGTGGCATCTCTAGTGACCTGTTCATCGTTGTAGTGAGTAAGAAGTTGTTGTATGAGAAAAGTCGAGAGGAAGGGTTGGTTGTTGATGATGACGCTGCTGCTGAGAAAGTTCGCGGAGATAAAATATCGAGGATGCGTTCGGGAACTCCATCAGGTAGGGAAGGGCGGCTTGGGTTGTTGTTGAAAGAGTGTTGGTAGAATGGATGAGGGATGCGGAGAGGCAGAAGCAAGAGGAGGCTAAGAAGGTTGCGAAGTCACTACAGAGTCCGGAGTTTATTGATGGTAAGGAGGAGGTCCCGGGTTCGAACCGCGGTGGGGGTATTTTTCGTGGTTTTTGTTCAGGTGAAGCACCAGAGACCTACAAGGCATCTCTCAAGACTCAGACGCTCCCTTGGCACAGCTTTAACCAGGCTTGCATTGCTGTCTGCTTTTGCTGGCTCTTCGGATTGGCGTATGGTATTGCTGTTTTAACAGGATACCGATGGGGTAATGGTCATTCGTCGAGTTATTGCGCACGCGGAAGATTTCCTTGCCTTTAGGTTGGCCCGATTCGAATCCCTTTGGTAACGGTGAGTTCACTCGAAGACTATCAGCAGCATTCTTCCCGACCACTGAGTCGGACAGCAGCTCGTCGTTGTTACCGCCGTTTTACCGACCTACAGGGGTTAGTAATGTCCCTGATCTCGGCTTGGTCTTCACTAGCAATGAGGTGAGCGCTTGTTGTGAAACGGTTCTGAGGGAAACGTGGTATGTGTTGGTCGTTCAAGTTCGTTGTTGGCAAGCTCGTTGGATTTTTCCCCCATAAATTCCGAAAAAATTTGGGAAAAATTGGCATATTTTTCGTTAGCATTTATTTCGGGTTGCAGGAAAACCGCTGGTGGTTTGTATTCTGTTGGGCATTGATGAAATATTACCTTTGTCATTCAGGGTGGTATTTTCTCCCCTGAACTCGGTGGCGATGTGCCTTGTGAGATCCCTTTTGGAGAGCGAGCGGTTGATGTAGCTGTTAGTCCGTAAGAGGAAGCTGAGAGGTGGAAGCAACGTGATGGTAGTTGAATGGTCATCAGGTCGAACGCAACTTTCGCTGTGTTGTCGGATGGTGCTCTGAAGAGATGCCAGGGAGCGGCTGAGATGAGCGTCCGTATGAACACCGGTAGTGCTGTTGCTAAGGCGGAGTTCTTGGCTGATGACGAGGCGGTAGTCGTTACGAGAGAACACCCTCAGTGGATACAAGTGGTGAAGTAGGGATGTGGGCCTCGTTGGTATCTTGGTAGAGTCGACCTTAGATACGATGGTTCATCGTTGGTGGTTGAGAGGGTGCTGAGGGCGCCAGGGGAGGTGGTTGGCTTGGCACGCAAGAGTTCGAGCGTTGACAAATTGTATGTGTTGTGGCAACAGACGTCTACTGAAGAGCATCCGGATTATGCGGCTGGGAGAATTGATCTTCATACCGGTAGTAAAGACGGCGTGCGAAAATACACAAAACTGGACGATTTGACCCGAACGATTATAGATTCTCAAATATCAGGTACTCTTGAGGCGCGCGCTAGCGTTCATGGGGACTTTGATGCCTCTGTTGAGTGGGTTGGCATTTCGGAAGCCAACAATGGGCAACTCGCCGTAGTTGGCATTTCGCTGAAGGACCAGAGCCCTGTCGTGGCCCCTCTACGGAAGCTTCGACCGGTCGTGAACAACATCGGGAGGGGACGTGATGCTGAGACGATGTGAAGGATGGATGGTATTGGAATATCCATCAGACGTGGACTGGAGCCTCTTGACGTTTACTAGCATCATTACTGTCTATCATTCACCATTAGCTTCGATAGCGGACTTTGGAGGTGTTGGGTTATTGAAAGTGGAGATGAATCGGTGGACGCCGATTATAGAAGAAATAGATGACCAGGGGAAGAGGGCGGTTTCTGATTTCCTTAGCGATATTTGGTAATATAGCTTTGGTTGGATAGCGGTATTTCTTCCGTAATGTGGAGTTAGGAGGGTGGCGGTATATTCGGATGAGGATTTCATTATATCATCTAGTCATGCTAGTCAGCAACAAATCGTCACTATCTGTCTTGATCTGATTGTGACCGGTCAGACTTGTTGTAGGTCGCAGGATTACTCGCTTGAGTCAAGACGGATAGTGTTGAGGTCAGCAGTATGAGGCTAGGTACAGTATGCGATTGCGTGTTTCTATTTTCATCGGCGCAATTTTCGGGGTGGAGAGTGACATTTTGGGAGTAGGAATAGCTGGCTGTGGTTGTTGACTTACTTGACCGAAATCGTTAGAAAAATATCCGATAACTGGGCTATTCCACCCGAACGATTATGCGTCTCTCCCTCTGTATTGAGCTTGGTAACAATATCCGGGGATGGTGGCTTTCACTCCATAGTGAAAGTTATTAGCTCTACTGTTTCTGTCTAGGGGTATGAGTGGTGAA